CCGGCGGGGGGGCCCCCCTGAAGGGGCCCCCTGGGGGCCCCCCTGGGGGCCCCCCTGTGTTGCTAGGGTTGAGATTCGCAAGCAGATCTTGTCTATGAGGGCCTCACTTTGTCTTCGGCCTTTTGCGAACTGCAGCACGAAGCTGCGTACAAACCCTAAAGCCTAAACCCTAAACCCTAACCCTCGGCCCGGTGTGCGTGGCAGCCGGCACAGTCTAGGGTTTAGGGTTTAGGGTTTAGGGTTTGCTGCTGCGTCTTACCTGAGGAGTTTCTCTCTCTCGCGCTGCAGCGCTGCAACTGCTGCAGCTTCTCGGGCCGCTGCAGCGCCTTCCCCTTCGGCCTCCCCTGCTGCTGCAGCAGCAGCAGCAGCAGCAGCAGCAGCAGGGGGGGCTGTGGCCACCCCTATTGCTGTCAGCAGCTCAGGCAGCGCATGCAGCACAGCAAGAGGGTCTTTTCTGTCGACTTCGAAGAAGAAGGTTTTTGCTGCTTCCCGCACCCGCCAGGCCCTCTCCTGCTGCTGCTGCTGCTGCTGCTGCTGCTGCTGCTGCTGCAGCAGCAGCATGTTCACCAGCAGCCGCGCCTTGGGCTTCACCATTCCCGTCATTGTCAAGTGCGTCAGCACATGCACTGCTGCCAGCTGTCCATACACCCGAGGGCCCCGCAGCAGCGAAAACACTCCTTCGTTGTAAGGCTCCAGCAGGTTCGGGTGTCTGCAGCAGCAGCAGCAGCAGCAGCAGCAGCGGCAGCAGCAGCGGCAGGGGCGGTGGGAGGGGCAGCAGCAGCAACAGAAGCAGCGGCGGCAGGGGCGGTGAGAGGGCAGAAGCAGCAGCAGCAGCAACAGCAGCAGCAGTAGCAGCAGCAAGGCTGGTGGGCGGCGCAGCAGCAGTAATAGCAGCAGCAACGGCGACCAGCAGCAGCAGCAACAGGAGCAGCGCAGCAACTGCGCTCAGACGAAGAAGGATCCACTCCGTTCCCCCATGGCCTAGGGTTTAGGGTTTAGGGTTTAGGGTTTGTTACCTGCAGGTGAGGTCCCCGAAGCCAACTAGCAGTGTGTCTTTGAGGGCCCCGTCGGCTCTATTCTCTTGCTGCGGCGGCAGCAGCAAAGACAGCAGCGCATGCAAAGTGCTCTGCTGCTGCTGCTGCTGCTGCTGCGGCTGCAGCTGCAGCTGCAGCTGAAGGCGCTCTTCGCAGAAGGCCCTGCTAACTGCAGCATATTTGGCGAGAGAGAGCACCGCCGTTTGCTGCAGCAGCTTTGCTGCTGCTGCTGCTGCTGCTGCTGCTGCAGCAGGCTTGCCCGGGAGAGGGGGCCCCTCAGAGCAGCGCAGCTGCAGCCGCTGCAGCAGCTGCTGCGGCGCAAAAGCAGCAACCAGCAGCAAACGCTTGTAGGGGCCCCCCAGGAGGCCCTGCTGCGTCAGCTGCTGATCTATTATTTGCTGCAGCAGCTCGAGTTCTTCTTCTTCCCGTGTCTGCAGCCCCATGTTGTCTTCAATCTGCTGCTGCTGCTGCTGTTGCTGCTGCTGGTTGCTGCTGCTGTCGGCCTCTGCTCCGTCTTCGCCTGCGTCTGCTGCTGCGCCGTCAGCCGCCGCCCTCCCCTGCTGCTGCTGCTGCTGCTGCTGCTGGGTGCCGGCTGCTGCTGCTGGGGAAGTGCTGAAGTGGCGCAGCTGCTTCAGCTGCCGCTGCAGCAACTCCAGCAGCAAACAGCAGCGCAGCAAAACATGACCTGCTAGAAACAGCAGCTGCGAAAGCCGAACAGCAGAAGGGGCCCCCGAAATGGGCAGCAGCAGCACGGGGCAGGGTTCTCGGGGTGGGGACAGGGGGCCCCACAGGCTGCCATCTGCTGCTGCTGCTGCTGCTGCTGCTGCTGCTGGTGCTGCTGCTGCTGCTGCTGAGCGCGGGGACGGAGAGGACGCGGGCGTTGAGGGCGGCTCCGCTGGCGGCGGCAAGGCCGCGGTGGCCACGCGCTGCTGCTGCTGCTGCTGCTGCTGCTGCTGCTGCTGTGCTGCAGCAGCCAACAGCTGGTGCAGCGCATGCGCTAAGAGACGGCCCCACAGGACGTCTGGCTGCGGGCAGTGAGTAAACGTGGCATCCACCACAGCTTGAGCAGCAGCAAACCTGCAGCAGCAGCAGCAGCAGCAGCAAAAAATGTGCACCGGCCGCTCGGCTCGCAAGCGTTGTGCATTGTTTGAGGAAGCACCAGCAGCAGCAAGAGCGGCAGCAGCAGCAGCAGAAGCAGCAATAGCAGCACCAACAGTAACACCTGCAGCAGCAGCAACAGCAGCAGCAGCAGCAGCAGCAGACCAGTTGGTGTCGGTGGTCCCTAAGTGCTGCATGAGCAGCTTGAGGGCGTTCATTGATGCTGCTGCTGCTCTTCCTTCAGAAGCAGCAAAAGGCAAGACGGAGCAAAGTTCTCCAAACAGCAGCAAACTGGCCCCAGGCCCCTTGCTGCTGCTGCTGCTGCTGCTGCTGCTGCTGCGGGCTGCTGCTGCTGCCGCCGCGGCGGCGGACTGGTGCCGCAGCGCGCCCTCGAGCGCCCGCAGCTGAGTGTCCGTCAGGCGGTGCAGCAGCAGCTGCTGCTGCTGCTGCTGCAGCGGCCGCTGCTGCTGCTGCACCTCAAAGACCCGCCGAGACGCCAGCAGCAGCAAACGGATGCAGCCCACAGCACAGCGAGGCACAGCGTCACGCCCCAGAGAGAAATCTGCAGCAGAAGCAGCAGCAGCAGCAGCAGCAGCAGCAGCAGCAGCAACAGCAGCAGCGGTGGCGGGTTAAAGGCCGGTAAGATTGGCTGCAGAAGCGCCGCTTTTTCTTAATTCAATTCCCTCCTTGCTCATTTTGGCGTTTCATGTAGGGTTTAGGGCTTAGGGTTTAGGGTTTAGGGTTTAGGGTTTACTTGGCTGCAGCGCGAGGACGAAGAGGGCGTGAATGAGCTTTTTGAGGTGGGGGAAGAAGAACTGGTTGCTGCTCTGCAGCAGCAGCAAAAAGAGTCTCTCGAGAGACACAATATCTTTAATTTGAGCAGCAAAAACCAGCAGCAGCAGCCGCGCAGCAGCAAAGCGGTAGCAGGAGCCGTTTGCTGCTGCCTGCAGAAGCTGCGTCAGCAGCTGCATCTGCTGCTGCTGCTGCTCCTCGTCTTCGCCGGGCTCCTGCTGCTGCTGCTGCTGTTTCCTCCTTTTGGGCTGCTGCTGCAGCGGCTGCTGCTGCTGCAGCAGCTTCCGCTTGACGAGGAGGGCCGCGAGCTGCTTCTGCTGCTGCAGCAGCTGCTGCTGCAGCAGCAGCGTCTTGGGGTGCAGCAGCAGCCGCGTGAGGTGAGCAGCAGCAAACTCCGCCACAGAAGACACACAAGAGTAAGACAGACGCAGCGCAGCACGCAGCGGCAGCAGCAGCTTCTGCTGCTGCAGCAGCAGCAAACTGCTGCTGTCCACTATAAACCGCAGCGCCGCCTTCTGGTCGCTGTCCGAGGGGCAGCAAAGCATTTCCACAGCTCTGCATGCAGCAGCAAATAACAAATAATTAATTTAATTAATTGATTAATTAAATTAATTAATTAATTAATTTAATTATTTATTTATTTAATAAAAAACCTACAGAGAGAGCGCCGTGTCAAACGCGTCCTCGGCCTTTACCACCAGCTGCAGCAAAGGGTCCTCCTCCTCAGCAGCAGCAGCAGCAGCAGCAGAATCTGGCGCTGCTGCTGCTGCTGCTGCTGCTTTCCCATCTCCATTGCGTCCCTCTTTGCCCTCAGAGCTCTCAGCAGCAGCAGCAGCAGCAGCAGCAGTGGGTGTGTCTGCCGCTGCTTCCGCTGCAGCTTCGCCCCCAGCTGCTGTTTGCTGCTGCCGCTCCTGCTGCTGCTGCTGCTGCTGCTGCAGCTGCAGCAGTCGCTGCTGCTTGCGCAGCTGCTGCTGCTGATACCTCGCCCTGAACTCGCCGTGTTCGTCTGCGAGCAGCAGCACGAAGGGCTGCTGCAGCAGCAGCTCCTGCTGCTCCTGCTGCTGCTGCTGCTGCTGCAGCTGCTGCACAGCCTGCTGCAGTGCTGCTGTTATCACCTGCAGCGCCGCAGCGCGCACCAGCGAGCTTCTGTCCCGGACCCTTTCTGCTGCTGCTGCAGCAACAGCAGCAACAGCAGCAGCAGATAAAATCCCCTTTTCCAGCAGCTCCCCCAGCACCTTTAAGCACCAGCTGCGAGCAAGCGGCAGCTTGTCTTCGAGCCGCAGCAGCAGCAGCTGCAGCAGCTGCTGCTGCTGCTGCCCCCAGAAGCGGGCTTCCTGCGCCTGCTGCTGCTGCGGGTCCTTGCCTCCTTGCTGCTGCTGCTGCTGCGCTGCTGCAGCAGCAGCAGCAGGAGTGGAGTCTCCCTCGTCGCTGCTGTCTCCCTTTTCGGAGCCGTCCCAGCCCTCCGCGTTCCCGTTGCTGCTGCTGCGCCGCTGCGCTGCTGCTGCTGCTGCTGCTGCTGCTCGTGTGTCTGCTGCCTCTTCTGCTGCTCTGTGGGCTTTTATCAGCAGCAACTTGAGGCTTTCTAGAAGGGCCTTTCGCACGAGGTAAGGCTCAGCAGCAAAGAGCTGCAGCAGCTGCTGCTGCTGCTGCAGCCACGGCCGCGGCAGCAGCTCAGCTGCTGCTTCCAATGCTGCTGCTGCTGCTGCTATGCCCTCCCGCTGCTGCAAAGTGCAGCAGCAGCCAGAGAACAGCACAAGCTGCTCTTTTAGCTGCCCCCCCAGCTCCAGCAGCAGCAAGCAGCAAAACAGAGACGTGGGGGGCCCTTGGTCCTAAAATAAATAAATAAATAAATAAATAAATAAATAAATAAATAAATAAATAAATAAATAAATAAATAAATAAATGGTGGATTGAGAATAAGCTGCTGATATCACCTTTTGTTTGTTCGTGGAAGCGGGAAAACTGGGAGGAAAAGAAAACCCTAAACCCTAAACCCTAAACCCTAAACCCTAATTTAGGGTTTCTCACCAGGGAGGCGGCCACGCGAACCACTGCTGCTGCTTCCTGCTGCAGCAGCAAAGGCCTCAGGGGCTGCAGCCAAGGAAGGGTTTCTAAGGAGACACATTCGGCGAAGAAAGACTCGAGCTCTGCGCGCAAACCCTAAACCCTAAACCCTAAACCCTAGGCGCGGGGGGCTGTGCGGGGAAGCAGCAGCAGCAACGCGAGCTGCTAAAAAATTAGAAAATAAAAAGATAAATAATTATTAAGAAATAAATAATTAAAAATAATTAAAAATAATTAAAAATAAACAGAAAAGAAAAAATAAAAAAGATGATAAAAGAGACAAAAGACAAAGAGAGCTGTTTGCTGCTTGCCCTGCTCGAAGCGAATATCTGAAGCTTCTGTCTCTTCTGCTGCTGCTGCTGCTGCTTCTGCTGCTGCTGCTGCTGATGCTTCTGCTGCTGCTGCTGCTGCTGTGCCGTCTCCACTGTCTTCGTCAGAATCTGCACCTGGCTCTTCTGCTGCCTCTGCTGCTGCTGCTGCTGCTGCTGCTGCTGCTGCCGCCTGCTTCCTTTTGGCTGCTGCTGCGGCGCGCCGCTGCTGCAGCAGCCGCTGCAGCTGCTGCTCCAGCAGCAGGAAGAGACTCGTGAGGCCGGCCTTTGAGACAGCAGCAACAGTTGCTGCTGCTGCTGCAGGCAAGCAAGGCCTCTTGGCGCTGCTGCTGCTGCTGCTGCTGCTGCTGCTGCTGTCCCGCTGCACCGAGAGTCCCCGCAAGAAAATGCTCAGCAGCAGCTGCTGCTGCTGCTGCTCCCGCTGCAGCTCCTCCCCACTTGGCATTGTGTACAGCCTCCACACCGCTGCAGCAGCAAACCATTAGGGTTTAGGGTTTAGGGTTTAGGGTTTAGGGTTCGGGGTGAAGGGCAAACTGCTGGCGAACTGAGGCTGCAGCGGATCAGCGGACGAAATGCTGTCAAGGCATTAGGGTTTAGGGTTTAGGGTTTAGGGTTTAGGGTTTGCTACCTTCAGACTCTGTGAGGGTTTTTGCTGCAGTCAGCAGCTTAATAATAATGCACCCTAATTCTTCTTTGCTGCTCCTAAAATAAAAATCAAAAAAAGAGAAAATGGGGGCCCCCAAACCCTGGGAAGGGGGGCCCCACAAAAGAAACCAAATCAGGGGACTAAAATCCCTAATTTGGGGTTTAGGGTTTAGAGTCTACGGGCTTGCATTTACGGCCAAGGGTTTAAGGTTTAGGGTTTAGGGTTTAGGGTTTAGGGTTTACGGTTTAGGGTTTAGAAGCCGTGGAGGGGGGGTGGTACTGCCGACCGGGGCTGATCGCTGCTGCATGCAGCGCACGAGTTTGCGTGCAGCAAACCCTAAACCCTAAACCCTAAACCCTAAACCCTAAACCCTAAACCGTAAACCCTAAACCCTAAATTATATTTGTCTTTAGGTGTCTGTACACCTGGCTCTAAATCTTTTCTTCCGCGGCCTCTCCTCCTCGAGGTGTATGTCGAGCTCTGCAGACGATGTGAGTCACCAACCACGATTTAGGGTTTAGGGTTTAGGGTTCAGGGTTTAGGGTTTAGGGTTTAGGGTTTAGGGTTTTCGCGCAGGAGGCGGAGGAGGCCCTGAAGGACCTCATGGCCGTAGGCGAGCAGCTCCCAAGTTTGCTGCTTTCTGTTTGCCGCAGAGCTGCAGCAGTAGGTGAGGGTTTAGGGTTTAGGGTTTAGGGTTTAGGGTTTTTCTCAAAGGGTTTTCCGCCCACACACAAGCTTCCGAATTCAAGGGTTTAGGGTTTCAGGGTTTAGGGTTCCTGCCAGGGGCGAAAGCCCCACTCTCTAGGGTTTAGGGTTTAGGGTTTAGGGTTTAGGGTTTGCGTGCAGCCAGCAGCTCAGGTTTCCCCGACGAACCCACTTCTGAGGGCCCCCCAGCGGGGCCCCCAGGGGGCCCCCCGGGGGGCCCCCCAGGGGGCCCCCCTGGGGGCCCCCTGGGGGCCTCGGGTTTAGGGTTTGTGAAGAAAAGGGTTTTGGACTTGTCGCTGAAAGCAGCAGCAGAAATAGAAAGGGTTTTGGGGAGGAAGGAGGCAGCTGAGGGTTTACGAGAAAAAGCGACGGTTTGTTGCTGCTGCTGCTGCTGCTGCTGTTGCTGCTGCTGCAGCTGCTGCTGGGTATCTTCTTATATTTGCTGGGGGTTGTGTGGAGTTTGTCGATTTGTTTTTAATTTTTGTTTATTTACTTTTTTTAATTTTGTCTTTTATTCTTTTAATTCTTTCTTGTTTTAACTATTTATTATTATTTGATTTTTTAATCTCTCTTTACCTGATTCTTATTTAATGTTTATTTGCTGCTGCTGCTGCAGTTGCTGCTGCTGCTGCTGCTTTCTCTGCTTGTGCGCAGCAAATCTTGTGTGTGGGGAGCAGCGGCGCCGCTGCTGCTGCTGCTGCTGCAGCTGCTGCTGCAGGCGTGGTGTCTCTTGACAGCAGCAGCGGCAGCAGCAGCAACAGCAGCAGCAGCAGCAAAAGAAGCAGAAACAAAAGTATAAAATTAAATGAAAATAAAAACTCAAATGAAAATGAAATTACTTTTGCTGAACCTGATATTGTTTTCCTCAAATGTCCCCTTACCCAGGAGACATTCAAAAGGCCTGTCTCCCAAAGGTTTGCTGCTGCTGCTGTTGCTGCTGCTGCTGCTGCTGCTTCTGAGGTGCTTGCTGCTGCTGCTGTGGCGGTTGCTGCTGCGGTGCTTGCTGATGCTGCTGCTGCAGGTGCCCCTGCTGCTGGAGTTGCTGCTGCTGCTGCGCGTCGTGCTGCTTCGGGCGTTGGTGCTGCAGCTGCTGCTGCAGCTGCTGTTGCTGCTCCTGCTTGGGGTTTTCCCGCTTTGGGTGCTGCTGCTGCAGCTGCTGCTGCAGTTGACGTCGTTGCTTTCACTAATGCTGCTGCTGCTGCTGCGGCTGCTTCGTTTTTGTGCTGTCCTGTCTCCGTTTGGCTGCGCGTGTCTCTCCCCTCTTTATAATAATTCTTTTTCCATTTCATTATTTCTTTATTTTTATTTATTTACTTTTATTTATTTATTTTTATTTGTTTTTATTATTTATTTATTTGTTTAATTTAAAGTTTTAATTTGTGTCTTTGCCTGCAGATGGAGTTCCTCTTCTTGTCCCCACGTGTTTGAAGAGGAGGCAATTATGCACTTGATGTAAATTAGGGTTTAGGGTTTAGGGTTTAGGGTTTGGGGTTTGGGGTTTAGGGTGTGGGGTTTAGAGCGTCTCTGTCCTGAAGGTTTTAGGGTTTGGGGTTTAGGGCTTTCGTTTGCGGCTGGTTGCTTTTCAAGGGTTTAGCGCTACAGTTTAGGGTTTAGGGTTTAGGGTTTAGGGTTTAGGGTTTGTGGCGTTCTGTGCTGTGGTATGTTAAGGGGAAGCCAGACCTCAATTCCTTGTCCCTTTGCAGGTGCGTCGAGGACTAGCGTTTAGGGTTTAGGGTTTAGGGTTTAGGGTTTAGGGTTTAGGGCTTAGAATCACAAGGGAGCAAAAGGAGAAGCAAAAGGGCAAAAACGAAAATGAAACCACAGAAGTTTAGCTGCTCGGTGCATCTCTTTTGTTTTTAGTTATTCATTTAATTTATTTATTTATTTATTTATTTTTATTTGTTTTTAGGATGCAAAGGAACTGTTCAAAAAGAAATTCTCCGAAGAGATTTTGAGACCGAAGAGCACCTGAGGTAGGGCTTAGGTGTACATACACCTCAGTTAGCTGCACTCTCCCCTCAGGGTTTCCTATGGTTTAGGGTTTAGGGTTTAGGGTCTAGGGTTTGGGGTTTAGGGTTTTTAGCTGATGCGTTGGCTCTATTGTTTAGGGTTTTGCATCCCAGCGCTTTCAAAAGTGTCTATTTCTTGTTTCTTGTTGTTTATTATTATTAATATGAATTAAATTTTGAAATTGTTTTAATTTTAATTTAATTTAAATTAAAACTCCTCAAGCTGCCATTTCGTGTTCGACTTGTTTCGCGCGTTGTTCGGGTGTACGTACACCTCGCGCTTTCGGGTGTACGTACCCCTCAGCTCCATTTGATAGGTTTTTCGCCGTTTTTTGAATTCTTTTTTCATTTAATTAATTATATTTTAATTTGTTTTATTTTTTATCATTTTTTATTCCACTTTTATTCTTTTTCTGCTCTTTTTTCTCATTTTTTTCGCTGCAGACGCCTGCGGCTCCACAAGGCAGCAGAGGAAATGCGAAGGGCCACTCCTTCTCAACATATATAAACAAACTAATTAAATAACAAACTAATTAATTAATTAATTAATTAATTATAATGGAATAATTAAAGATAAATGAATAGATTAGTGCTGATTCGAGGGACTTCGCTCATTTGCTGCACAACAGCCAAAGAATAAATCCCATTTGAAGCTGCTGCTGCTCCTTTTTCCTTTTGTCTTTTTTTAATTCTTTTTATTCAAATAAAAGGACATATTAATAGCTCTTCAATTAGTCCTCAGGCGCCCCTTCAATTAGTTCTCAGGGGCTCCCAAGGGGCCCCCAGGGGGCCCCCTGACGGATCTGTAATGCCTTTTGTGGGGGCCCCACAGGATGAAATAGGTGGGCCCCCAGTACCCACTGGGGGCCCCATAAGACATATTCTTGGGCCACTTAGGGCCTCCTGGAAAGCCCCCTATTATTAGCTATTGGGGGGCCCCCCACACCTCCGTGGGGGCCCCTCAAGACCTCCTCGGGGGCCCCTCAAGACCGCCTTGGGGCCCCCCAAGAACTCCTAGGGGGCCCCCTAAAGCCTCCTGGGGCCCCTCTGGGGGCCTCCGTAGGGGGCCCCCAGAGGGGCCCCAGGAGGCTTAGATGGGCCCCTTGGGGCCTATTGGGGGCCCCTAATACCTATTGGGGGGCCCCCCAAGACCTACTGGGAGCTTCTTATGGGGGCCCCCTAGAGGCCCCATAGGACGCACTCAGGGGGCCCCCTCTAGATCCCTAGAATCCCCTGGGGCCCCTGAGGGGCCCCCTAGGAGTTCCCGGGGCCCCTCAGGGGGCCCATAGGGGCCCCCTGGGGCCCCCCAGGGTGCCCCTGGGGGCCCCCAGGGGGCCCCCAAGAGGACTTGGGGGCCCCCCAAGCTCCCTTTGGGTTTAAAATGTCTTTTTGAATTTTTTTTGTTTATTTGCGATTTCTGTTTACTGGATTTGATTTGCTTAAACCCAGCCAACCAAACAAATTAATTAAATAATTAATTAAATTAAATAAATAAACAAATAAATAAATAATTAAATGCTTCAAGTGTCTCCTGTCTCTTCTCCCTCGAGGCCCAAAAAGAGACTAAGGCCTCTTGCGATTGAGGTGTATGCTGAGCTTGCGAAGTCCCCCAGTATCTCCTCTTCTTCTTCTTGCTGCTGCTGCTGCTGCTGCTGCAGCTGCTGCTGGTGGTGCAGCTGCTGATGTTGGTAGTTGGGCTCGTGCAGCGAGAACGACTGCTGGTGCTGCTGCTGCAGGTACGGCTGCTGCTGCTGCTGCTGCTGCAGGGAAGGGAACCGCTGGTTTTGCTGCGTGGTTGCTGCTGCGTACGGCTGCTGCTGCTGCGGTGTCTGTACAGCTGGGCACTTAATAAACTTAATCGTCTCTACAGTGGAGGACCTTGACTGGAAATAGCTGCTGCTGCTGCTGCTGCTGCTGCTGCCTAGGCACTGGAAGGAGTCGGAAGGGCAGCAGGAGTCCGCTGCTGCTGCTGCTGCTTCCTCAGCAGCAGCAGCAGCAGCAGCAGACTGGGCCAAGGGGTTGCCCTTGATCTCCCCAGAAGCCAGGGCCCTCGGCAGCAGCTGCTGCTTTATGTCTTTGCTGCTGCTGCTGATTTCGAAGCCAATAAAGAAATAAAGAATTATCAAAATGCAGCAGCAAAGTGCACTTTGAAACAGCAGCGCAGACACGGAAGAAGAAACCACGAAGCAAAACAAACCCAGGTTAAACAGCCTGCAGCAGCAGCAGCAGCAGCAGCACACAGGACAGACACAGTCCAGCAGCAGCAGCACCAGCAGCAGCAGAACAGGCAGCAGCAGCAGCAGCAAGAGGAATAGAAAAGAAGACGTCACAGCTGAGCAGCAGCAGAAGCAACACGACGTCGCAGGCAGCAGCAGCTGCTGCTGCTGCTGCAGCCTAACAAGTAGCAGCGACAAGCGCAGCAGCAGCAGAAGCAACAGCAGCAGCAGCAGCAGCAGCAGAAGCAACAACAGCAGCAGCAGCAGCAGAAGCAACAACAGCAGCAGCAGCAGCTCCACCGCGACCACATCAGCACCACCCCCACCCCCACCACCACAGCAGCAGCAGCAGCAGCAGCAGCAGCAGGGGACCTGAGGGTGGTTTGCTGCGCCTGGTCCATGGCCTTGACAGCAGCAGCAACACTGGAGGGCCCGCTGCCCCTGAGGGCCAGCCCGGGGCCCCACATGCTGCACAAAGTGGACAGCAGCAGCACCAGCAGCATGAAGCAAAGGGCCCCCCCGGTGGCCAAGATGTGCAGCAGCTGCAGCAAACGGTGGCCCCCCGGAGACCCTGCAGCCGCAACACGCCAGCAGCAAAGCCCTGCTGCTGCTGCTGCTGCTGCGGGGGTGGCGGCGGCGGCGCGTGCAGCGGCGTTTGCTGCAGCTGGAGACGCTGCGGGGAAAGCGCCAGCTGCAGCAGCAGCGCAGCAGCAGCAGCAGCAGCAACTAGTTGCTGCGAACAGCAGCAGCAGCAGCAGCAACTAGTTGCTGCGAACTGCAGCAGCAGCGGCAGCAACTAGTTGCTGCGAACAGCAGCAGCAGCAGCAGCAACTAGTTGCTGCGAACTGCAGCAGCAGCGCCCCTGCCGCTGCTGGCGCTGCTGCCACAGCCGCACAGCTGCCGCTGCTGCCGCAGCGCCCTACCTCCCCCCCGCCGCCGCCGCCGCCGCCGCTGCTGCTGCTGCTGCTGCTGCTGCTGCTGTTGTTGCTGCTGCTGCTGCTGCTGCTGCTTACCTGCTGCCTGCATGAGTGCTGCGGAGGCGAAGCCGGCGAGCAGCGAAGCCACGCGAGTGACTCTGCTGAAGACCAAAATGAAATAATCAATTTCGAGAAATTGAATTGAAAGACTTTCTAAGTTGAAGTCCGTGAGGACCGTGGCCTTGTTCGCCTGCAGCATCCTAAACCCTAAACCCTAAACCCTAAACCCTAAACCCTGGACGCTGAACGCCGCGCGTCGGCTGCGCCGCGCGCCTCAGGAGCCTCGCGCGGCGCCCCAGTTGCATTTAAGGGTCCTTTGAAGGGGGGGTTGAGTTCTTTGTTTCTGTTTGTTTGTTTCTTTGTTTTATTCTTCTAATGGAGCTGCTGCTGCTGCTGCTGCTGCTGCAGCAAAGGAGGCGTCGGCATCAGCAGCGCCGCAAGACCACTGGAGCGGCCGCTGGCGCTGCTGCTGCTGCTGCGGCTGCGGAAAGCGCCAAGAAATGAACCGATTCAGCGATTAAAGACCTATTAAACTTATTAATTTATTTAATACAAACAAATTCGCCAAAATTTGGAAAAGAACCGGCAGAATCGCAGAAAGAGCGGCGGAGCCGCTGCAACGGCCAGTGGGGGCCTCTCCGACCAGCGCGGGCGGCTGCGGGACCTCCGCCGCTAAATGGACGCAAGTAGAACTAAATTCGAATTTAAAAACAAAATGATTTAATTAAAATAAATTAATTCAACAAAAATTCCCCGAAATTCCGCAGTTTTCCGATTTTTAGCGAACGCGACCTCCGCAGACACCCCAGTGGTGTGTCACGGGCGAGGTGTCTGTACACCTCAGCTACCAGCAAAACAGAAATTTCTTTTTTGCGGATTACCCGCCGTCAAAAACTTTTCCATTTGTTTTTAATTTCTTTAATTCTTTATTTCAAGCTTGCCAATCGATTTAATTCAACCTTTTCGCCATTTAACAACAAATCAGAAATGCGCTCGGAAAGAAGACACTGCACTCGCTCAGGAGGGTCTAGGGTTTACACGAAGGGCTCTTTTGCCTTTTATTTCATTCCCCACGAGGGTTTAGGGTTTAGGGTTTAGGAAGGGCCTTTTTTTTGTTTTTTTTATTTCGTCCAAACTCTCTATTTTAGGGTTTTTCGAATATGCATTCTACCGCCCTCCCGAGTGAATGGGGTGTACATAACCTCGCGGATCTAGCACGGCGGGCTTGCCTTTTAGGGTTTAGGGTTTCGGCAGTTCAGTAAATTTAATCTTCCAAGCCCTAATTTATTATTTATTTGTCTAATTCATTTACTTGCTGTTCTAATTCCAAGTTTATTTCCCCTCTTTTAAAAGAAAAACAGTTCTGCTGCTGTCGCGAGGTGTACGTACACCCCAAACTGCAAAGACTGGGGTGTACGTACACCCAAGCCCTTGACTCTCAGCTGTAGACCCTCAAGACAAAACCCGCCAGATGTACAGCTGAAAGCCGCGACGCCTGACCAGATCTAAACCCTAAACCCTAAACCCTAATGCGCAGAGCTAAGCTAACGCTCTTGGGAACCACTTGCGGAAACACAGCCACATATAGCAGAGGGCAACTGCATGCAGCAGCAGCAGCAACAGCAACAGCAGCAACAGCAATAGCAGCAGCAGCAGCGGTTTGATTTGCTGCGCAGGACTGCAACTGCTCGGTGTCTGTACGCCTGAGAGCTGTCTGAAGACTTTGCCGTTTAGGGTTTAGGGTTTAGGGTTTAGGGTTAGGGTTTTGAGTTGACGCGAGTTGCAGACGGAAAAGCCTTAAAAGGATTTTGATTTAATTGCAACATTAAATTAAAAACTAAATTTAAATTTATTTTCATTTATTTATTTATTTCAATTTTTTAATTCAGATCCAATTCAAATGCCTCCAGGTGCATTTCAGCTTAATTTGTTTCCCTTTTCATTGCATTTGCATTTATTTATTTATCTATTTGTTCATTTATTTATTTATTTACTTAATTATTCAATTATTTATTCATTTGTTTATTTTTTATTTATTTTTTTATTCATTTACTTGTTTATTTTCTTGAATTCAAATTCACGAGCGGGAAGAGTTGCGCGTACACCCGAGGAGGTGTCTGTACACTCGAAGTGCCGGGGTCGAAATTTTCGCGAAAATTCGAAAAATTGGAAACAAAGTTAGCCAGAAGTGAAATTAAAAGAGTAATTTCGACATTTTGAAGAAGAGTTTCATTTTTAAATGAATAGTTTCGTTTTTTGCGAAATTAATTTCCACTTTTGTTGCAAATGGTGCAGCACTCCGCGCGTTTCCCGCGGCGGCGGCGGAAAAAGTCGAATTTGGCGCCAAAAAAGCCAGAAAAAGAAATAAAAAGAGGCAAAATGAAATAAAAAGAAATAAAAAGAAATAAAAAGGGAGAAAAAGGAGCACTTTGAGTGCT